TTTCTCTCTCTGTATCTCTATCAGTCCCTCTCTCTCTTATCTCCCCCTCAGTCTCTCTCTCTGTGTATCTCTCTCTCAATCTCTCGTTCTGTCTGTCCCTCTTGGTCTGTCTGTCTGTGTCCCTCTCGGTCGGTTGGTCGGTCTGTCTGTCTCTCTCACTCTGTCTATCTGCCTGCCTGCCAGCCTGTCTCTGCGTGCCTGCCTGTCTGTCTGTCGCTGCCCCAGTCTGTCTGCCTGTCTCTGCCCCTGTCTGTCTGTCTGTCTGTCTGTCACGAAATGACTCCTCCGCCAACCTCTCATGCCTCACCCATCCTCACCTCAAATGCCAATTGCAAGGCGATGTTGGACTTCATCGAATCCAAAATCGAGGGAATCCGCTCAGTTGCGTCTGCCACTGCAACTATTACCGTCTCCCCATCTCCTCCTCCCACCCCAGCCCCTACCCACCCCTCCCTCCACACCTTTGTACCCATCTCCCCCTCCTCTCTCATCACTACCATAACCCATATGAAATCCACCACCTGTTCCCTGGATCCCATCCCTACCCCCACTCCTTACCACCCAGCTCCACCTCCTTGCCCCTCTACTCACTGACATTGTTAACCTCTCCCTGTCCTCTGGTACTATTCCCACCCCTTTAAAAAACGGGATGTTGTTCTGGGTTTCGCTCCTTCCTCTCCCGCCACTCCCTTCTCGAACCCCTCCAATCGGGTTTCCGTGCCGCCCACAGCACAGAAACCACCCTGGTCAAAGTGACAAATGACATTCTGTCCATCTGTGACTATGGCTCCCTCTGCCTCCTCGTCCTCCTTGACCTCTCTGCTGCTTTCGACACCGTTGACCACTCTATCCTCATCCTCTCCTCTCACCTCAACCTCCACCGCTTTGTCCTTGATTGCTTCAGATCGTACCTCTCACATCGCCTGCATTTCATCTCCTCAAGTGGCTTCTCCTCTAACCCCCGGACTGTCTTGTGCGGGGTTACTCAGGACTCTGTCCTTGGTCGCCACCTCTTCAATATCTATATGCTCCCCCTTGGTGACATCATCCGCAGACATGGGGTCAACTTCCACATGTATGCGGATGACACCCAATTCTACCTGTCTGCCTCCACCCTTTAGGACCCTTGACACTGTCAGACATGAAGTCCTGGATGAGAGCGAACTTCCTTCAGTTGAATGTCAACAAGACTGAGGCTCTCCTGATTGGCTCCCGTCAGCGCCTCCTCACCCAGGCATTGATAGTAACACCATCCATGGTCGCACACTCCACCTTGCTAAGCCAGTCTGGAACCTTGGGGTTTTGTGCGACCCTCAACTATCCTTTCTACCCCACGTTCGCGCCATCACCCACTCTGCCTTCCCCCACCTCTGCAACGTCGCCAGGCTCCGACACTGTCTCACCGCCGAAACTCTCATTACATCAAAGCTCGACTACGCAAACTCACTGCTTGTCGGCCTCCCCAACTCCTCCTCCATAGGCTGCAGATCATCCAGAACTCTGCAGCCCGTGTCCTCTCCCGCACTAGGCTCCGTGACCCTATCATCCTTGCCGAACTCCACTGGCTTCCCATCACACAGAGGACACAGTTCAAGATCCTGGTCCTCATCTTCAAAGCCCTCCATGGTCTTGCTCCTCCCCCCACCCCTCCGTCCTTCTAAGCCCCTACCATCCTGTTTGCTCCCTCCGCCAGCGGGCTCTGGCCTGCTTCACGTTCCCCGCCTTACTCGCCCTATTATTGGCAGGTGGGCCTTCCACCACTCTGCACGCACCCTCTGGAACTCCATTTCGCAGTCCCTCCATCTCATCCCCTCCCTCGCCACCTTCAAGACCCACCTCAAGACCCTCCTCTTCGACCTTGCTTTCGATCTTCCCTGCTTTCCCCCCCTGACCTTCCCCACCCTGACCCTCAGCTCAGGTCTGAAACTCTCTCTATTTAGTGCCTTGGGACATCCTCCCGATGTGTGAGGCGCTATAAAAATTTAATTTTGTTGTTATTGTTGCCACAGGCTCTCTTTCTCTCTCTCTGTAATAGTCTCTCTCTGTCCCAGTCTTTCTCTCTGTCCCAATCTCTCTATCTCTCGCCTCTCTCTCTCTCTTTCCCAGTCTCCCTCTCTCTCTGTCTCTCTCTCTCTCTCTCTTGCTCTGCCCCAGTCTCTCTCTGTCCCATTCTCTCTCTTTATGTGCCTCAGTCTCTCTATCTTTCTCTCTCTCTCTCTGTCCCAGTCTCTCTCTCTCTCTCTCTGTCCCAGTCTCTCTCTCTCTCTGTCCCACTCTCTCTCTCTCTATCTGTCCCAGTCTCTCTCTCTCTCTGTCCCTCTCTCTCTCTCTCTCTCTCTCTGTCCCACTCTCTCTCTCTCTGTCCCACTCTCTCTCTCTCTATCTGTCCCAGTCTCTCTCTCTCTGTCCCAGTCTCTCTCTCTCTCTTTCTCTCTGCCCCAGTCTCTCTTTCTCTCTCCCAGTCGCTCTCTCTCTCCCAGTCGCTCTCTCCTAGTCTCTCTTTCTCTCCCAATCTCTCTCTCCCAGTCTCTGTCCCAGTCTCTCTCTCGCTCTCTGAACCAGTCTTGCTCTCGCTCTCTGTCCCAGTCTCTCTGTCGCTCTTTGAACCAGTCTTTCTCTCGCTCTCTGAACCAGTCTCTCTCTCTCTCTCTGTGTCTCAGTCTCTGTCCCAGTCTCTCTTTCTCTCTGTCTCTTTCTGTCCCAGTTTCTCTCTCTCCCTCCCTCCCTGTCCCAATCTCTCTCCCTGTCCTTGTCTCTCTCTGTCCCAGTCTCTTTCTATACAAAATGTAAGATATTTTGAGCGGGTGATTAGGTGGCAGAGTTTTTTTTAATATTGTGCCTTGGAGTGATCAGACATCATTACTCATCCACGGTTCCTCACACAGATTTCTATAATTCAACTGTGTTGTCAGCAGCTTGGTGTTGAGTGGAGGTCACTTGCTTCCATTACGAGCAAGTGGGAGGGTGGCACATCAGATTGTTCAGAGCACAATTCAGAGAGTGCAAAATAAATCTGAATACAGAGATTGGGGATAATAAGAATGAGTAATGGTATCAAGCAACATGTTGATAATAATAATAATAATAATAATCCTTGCATTTGATATAGCGCTTTTCACGTCGGGAGGACGTCCCAAAGCGCTTCACAGAACACACTGTAAAGTGAATTGACTGTATATTGACTGTATACTGTATATTGATACAGTATATTGAGAGCCGAAGTAACATGCTCAAATATCAATTTGATTGGCTATCTGATTCTTATGTAAAGTAATATGATGAAGAACAAAATATATTTTAAAAAATTGTATTCAATGGTTAATTTATACAAATTACGCTTGTATAGTGCCCTTCACGTTGGAAATATGTCCCAAGTTATTGGAGTTGGGGTCAGGAGGGATGGAGTCCAGGGGTGGGGTGGGAAGAGAAGCCGAAGGCACAGGCCTTGAAAGAGGCAAGAGAGGGATTGAGGTGGAAAGATTGCAATATAGAGTTACAGAGTGTGGAGACAGATAATCTGAAAGTACGACCGCCACTGGTGGGGCGGGAAGTGCAGGGGACTTGAAGCAGGAGGGCGCAGTGGTCAGGCTGATATGGGGATAGGAGTCACAGAGTTAGGACGACCAAGACCATGGAGAGCTTTGAAAGCGATATACAGTTAACTTTTCTCCCTTCCTTGAGAAATGCTTCCTAATTTCTAATGATATTTTGCATGCGGTGATGGATCAAGACTAATTTCCTGCAATTCAATGCGTCTTCACCCGTCGATGCATGTGCACTTACCAGCAAGCATTGGAATTGCATTGAAGTTCTTCTGCATGTCACGACTACGTGTCCCATGATTCACTGCAGCTGGCTGGCAAGTGCACATGGGTCAACGGTTCAGGACGTCATTTTTCGCGATTCAATACAGCTGACCAGTAAGTGCGGGAGTAATGGCGGAGAGGGGAGCAGTGTTACGAGCTGGATGATTATAACAACTAGCACAAATAAATCTAAGTGGTTTTGATAGGAAACTGAATGGGACTCGACTTAGGCGATTGTATGATTAATAAAGATAGGACTTACGTGAGTTTTACTGTACTACATAACCTTTCAACCTCAAAAATGAACACGAATCATCTGGTAGTTTCTCTGGCAAGCGCTCTGGGACGTCACCCGGAGGGCATTCTATAAATGACAGTTGTTTTTGGTAATAATCATCCCGTTTAATTTGATAGCCTGCAATTTAAAAAAAATTCAAATAATGGAAGATTGTCTTTAAGACCATCTGCAACAGAGTAAGTATGCTTGTAATACTGCAGGATCAGCTTCTCTCTCATGTCTCACAGTATTAGAGGCCCACGTGACTACTGTCTATTTATAGTCCTTCCTGTTTCGCTGCCCACTGCACCTTGGTTCTCACTTTTATTTTGATTTTCATGTGGATTCTTGGAAAACATTTAAGTTGATGTTTTAAGGTCATTTTTTAAGATTAGCTTTGGGAAAGAGGTTGTTTTGTGAATCTGGACATTATTTTCAAGAGGATATTTAGTCACTGCAGCAATTGGACTCCTCCCAGTATAATCCATTGCTTTTCTACTACGGCTCTAGTGCATTCATAAAGCCTGATGGAATTTTTCCTCTTTGAATGAAGTTCCATTTGATATAAATGGATTTTATGGTGAGTTTATTAAAAAAAATTTAAAAAACAGCTTCCTTAAAACTGACGCAGTACGTATTAACGGATCCTGCTGAGCCTGCATAAATTAGCTTGCTATACTGGTTGGAGGCAGTCGAACAGAATGCAGTATAATTAAGCCTTGTTGATTCACTTTTTGGTGAAAAGCAGATAAAAATACTTTTTATTCATTGAACTATATTAGTAAAATTTGTCTGGGTGAGCATACAGATGATGATCTAAAGTAAACTATCTGTACAGATGTAGTCCTTTGTTTGAATCAAAGACTTCATATGATGGTTTATTCATTGCCAGTAAGCAATTTTATGTTTTGGTACAGGCAGGTCCAGGGATATTAAATATGGCTTCAGGAATTCAAGATTTCAACAGGACAGAGTCTGACCGACTGAATGAGATCAAGGGACATCTAGAAATCGCCTTGCTAGAAAAGCATTTTTTACGTAAGTATTGAATTGCATTCATTTACAGAATGGACAACACAATTTCAATGCCTTATTATCTATATTTACAAGTGGGAAGTCTTAAACCTGCACTTGAAAATATGTGCTATTTACCAATTTGTAGTCCTTACTACAACAACGACGACTTGCATCTGTACAGCGCTCTTCACATAGAATAATATCTTGGAGACTTGCACAATGAGGAAGAAGAGGGAGGGAGAGGTGACCATTGGCAAGGTTGAAGAGGTAGATTTTCAGGTTTGATTTAAAGATAAATAAAGAGGGTGTGAGACAGAGGGATTAAGACAGGGAGTTCCAGAGATTAGGGGAGTAGTGTCTGAAGGCATGGTCACCAATGGTGGTGAGGAGGAGTCGGGGGCGCACAGCAAGCTTGTGTTAACTGAGCAGAGGGAATGGGCAGAGGAATCGAGCTGAATATGGGATAAGAAGAATAGCTGAACGGGATTCTGAAGTTATGCATTGGTTTGGTGAGTTTGAGAAAGAGGCTGGAAGTTGATAACTGATGAATGAAGTTTGATATAGATAAGTGCAAAGTACTATATGTAGGATGCAAGAATAGGAAATACAAGCACTCCATCGAAGGGGACTGTCCAGGCCCTAGAGGCAGTGCAGAGGAAAGAGAGAGGAATGCGAACTGTGAGCACCTATTTGACAAGCTAGGGGTCATCAGTGTGGGGAGAAGACAAATCAGAATGAACCAAGACAGGACAAGAGGACATAGTTTTAAAAAGCTATTTCAGGATAGATACCTGGAGGTTTTTTTTACTTATTTAACGGCAATTAATGACTGGGATAGATTGCCATGAAGGATGGTTGCGGCCAGGACACTGGACTCGTTTAAAAACCAGTGTGATGCTGTGATGGGAATTGGGAGTGGGCAGTAGGGTGGTGGTTCTAGAAAATGAGATTGAATGGTACAGTATCGACTGACCTTCTTAATTCAAACTAATCTTGTGAAATCTGAAATTGATTGTGTTAAGTTGGAATAAAACCTTTTTAACTTTTAATGAGGTATGGCATGCACCAAGAGGTTGGTATTGAGTACTTCAGCAGGCTAATAAACAAGTTATTTTTGGTCAAAGTGTCAGATCAAAACTATATGAATATTTGAAAGTGAGACGCATCTGCTTTTCTTAAAAGCTGCTTATCGACTGATGTTAAGTTAGAGCCATTGGTTTGGGGAATGGTGTAAGGCTTGTACAACTTGAAGAAAACAGATTTTTTCAAAAAGAGCAAATGATCTATATATTTAGTCGCTGGGAATCTTTTATTTCAAGCACATTTGTGGAAGGCTATAAAATATGTGAGAAGTGAATGGATAGAATAAGCATTAAAAAAACTGTAAAAGGGAAGGGATGCTGTATAAGGAAGGAAATATGTAAAATGTCTCTTCCTTACAAATAACCTTAATCATATAACGTTGACATCCACTTGACCATAAAAAATTGAGGATTTAAGACAATATGAAGTTAAATTAGATATGGAGATATATTGGTTGATCTTCTTAAAAAAAAATCCAACATATTTAACACTCAAAGCTGTGAGTCTTTGTAATGTTTATGTATTTGGGATCAGTTTCAAATATTACATGTGGGGAGCAAAGTGCAAAGATAGTTATAATTTGGTGATATCCTTTTTGACAGTATGACTATGATTTAATGATTATGTTAGCTATTTCAATACCAATTATTCAACCATATGATTCTGCAATACCTATTGGTTAGAGCACTCGCCTTGCAAGCAAGAGGACCCGGGTTTGATTCTTGGGCAGGGCAAAATCTTACCCAAGTTTTCCTTAATCCACCTGCTCCTGTTTACCTATCAGTAAATAGGAACCCATTTGTTAGTCGATTGGCGAATCGCTTTCTGGGAGTAATAATCCCCTTTTTAAAAAAAAATAATATGGTCATTCAATCCATGACTATTTGTGGGACAATTTTGCTGTGCGCAATTGTACCAAGTGACCCCAACTTTTTTAGTTTAAGAGTGTGATTTATCTTGTTTTCTCTCTTTGCCCCTCCTGTTATGTACATGTCAAAATTATTTGATTTCAAATAACGTTCCCAACTGAAATCAGAAACTTGTCTCAAGTGAAATAATACTAATAATCATTGACTTTGTTTATAGGGCTTCACCAGAGCATTGAAATATCTCAAAAGTGCTTCACATGATTTGCTGTAAAGTGTAGTGTATATGTAGGACCTCTGGCAATGCAGCATATCCCTCCCTTATCCTCTGTTAACCCCTCCCACCCTATGCTATACCAGCCTAGACAGTAAACTCAAATTCCTGACGTGGTATTTAAACCCACACTGTTCTTCTGCATACAATATTAGAGGTCCACTGCATCTAATTTGAAAATGAGACAAGTGACCTCTGGATGCAGTATTATAGTATTTATTTTCATTGAAGCCGATGGTTCTGCTCTAGTCTCTCAATTAGGAACTAAATTGTTTACAATTTTCACAATTTGGTTAATAGTCTAAATGATTTGCAAATTCAGATGAATTTTGCTGCTGTTTGTTTAAAATACAATTTGGAAAAAATGTGCTAGATGATCCCATTACAAAGAAGAAAAGAAACTTTAAATTGCCGATATCCATTTTGAGGTGCTGGTGGAAATGTTTTTTTTTCAGTTTTTACTTTTAAAACATACTTTATTAAATACAATTTTCAATTTATCTGAAACTTGCACAATTAAGATATGTTTTCTATTGTACTTTCTGCTCTGTCTCAGTTGTCATTTCCAGTGTTTTCATACATAATTTAAACAGTTGAAAGTAAACTGAGATGGATGATCGAAGCTAAGATCAAATAATAAATTAATTTGCTGGTTGCCCATTAGATTGTGCTGAATAACATTTATGTAATGCATCATGAAATTGTAACTTGTAATCTCTGACAATTTTCAGAATGTAGTTTGATTGTGCCATGATGATAGATTTACATCTGTCTTCTATCTTTACTAATAAAACGACAAGGTCTCCATGTGTGTCTATCAGCTAAGATCACAACAAAAAATTGTCGTAGAGACATGATTTATACTTATAATAATAATAATCCTTGCATTTGATATAGCGCTTTTCACGTCGGGAGGACGTCCCAAAGCGCTTCACAGAACACACTGTAAAGTGAATTGACTGTATATTTGTGGGCGACTTCATCGGAAAGGTCTTGTATCTAGGAGTGTCTTGGGCATATTTGTTTTCAGGGATCTCCTATCGTTGATGAGCTATGCTCTAAACAAGTGGCTCACAGTGGCACTGTGGCATCATGCGTCACAGATAATGCACGCAGTATGCAAGCAGTCAGACGAAGCCACGGGGCGGGAGCAAGATAAAGATGCCTAAGCAAAGATCAAGCCTTTCAAGGATAAATAAAAATGCTAGAAAAAAGAGAAGGTAGATTAAATGAGACTGAAGAACAAAAAAACAGCGCAGCTGGACTTCAATCCTGAAAGGACTGCAAGAGCATGGCAAAATGAGTTTCCTGCTCAAAGAGAACTGGGAATATGTCGAACATATGGAGCCATGTGGAGCAATGAAATGGGCAAAAGAAGTTACTTGCTTGGCAAGGTGAAACCAGAGCGACTCACAGAGCCGCCTGAATCCCTGAAACGTCTGCTGGATGGCACATCAACTAATTCTATACATTTTCTAGCAAACCTTAGGAAATATAATTTGTGCTTCCAGATTACCTCTTTTGGTGTAACTAGAGAAATGAAAGAGCAGGCTACGTACCAACATTTAAAGTGCAAGGCCAAATGTATCACTTATCGGGATCTCTAAACACTTTGCCTAATGAGTCGCCAAAATTCTTACCAATCTACTTCATGACGAACCGAGAAGAACAAGCCATGCAGAGCGAAAGCAATGTTCTGAGGTTGAAGAAAGCCCTCATACTAGATCTGCAAGACATGCTTTACAACAGTAACACATATGCTAGCACCTGCTGGCACCTGCTGGCCAGCATGAACGATGTTACAATGCACCAACTACTGACGAAGTAGCCATCCTGACTGTGTGTGAAGAACATGGTAAGCGGGACATTGTATTGCAACAACGTGACAGCAAACTCAAACGAGTATAAGCATACAATGCCCTCCATTACCCATTATTCCCACGTGGTGAAGATGGTTACCATTTCCAGATATGGCAAACAAATCCCAGCACTGGACAGTCAAGGCCCGATAAAAAGGTGTCTGCTAAGGCTTTTTATGCGCACAGGTTGATGCAACTTGAAGGTGATTACAACATCCCTCTGCGTATAAAAGACCTCCATCAATTCATCGTAGACATGTATGCCAAGATCAAAGCTGAGAGACTCCTTTTTTTCTGCTTGAACTGGGGTGCCACGGCTTATGTACGAAAGAACCCAGGATGCATTGTGCTATGTGCGAACATACGGTTGGTCTGACCTGCAACCGTAATTGGGAGAAGATTAAGCAGCAACTGTTTCCTGTACAGAAGCCACAGGACTGCCATGATCTCATAGCCAGAGTTTTTCACTTCAAAGTTCTTAAACTGATGGAGCTTATCACCAAAAATCACATCTTTGCCATTGTTACCTCTACACCATTGAGTGGCAAAAGTGTGGTCTTCCCTATGCACACATTCTTCTGTTCATCAACAAATTACGGCCTAACCAAATCGACAATGTCATCTCTACAGAACTGCCAAACCCAGACCGAGATCGTACATAAGATGTTTTTGCATGGCTTTGAGGCTCTGGACAGGACACTTAAGGACATCAGGGAAAACACCCAGACGATGGGAGGGATGACATTTATTTTGTCGGGAGCCTTCCGCCAGACACTACCTGTCATACAACATTGTACCCATGCTGATGAATTGAATGCCAGTCTTAAGGCTTCCAGGCTTTGGGCATGTGTGGAAAAATGAGCCTCAGGACAAATATGCAAGTCCTATCTTAATGGCAGTTCCTCAACTGGGGTATATGCCGACCGACCTCCTTATGGAAATTGGGGATGGCAAAATTCCAGTGGTTCCAACAGATGGCTAAATTCAGATCCCCGAAGGTTGTGGGACCATTGTACAAGATATAGCTCAAAACCAACGTTTTCCCGAACACAGCTATAACTACACAAATCATAAGTGGTTGTGTCAAAGAGCAATCCTTGCTCCAAAAAATGAGTCTGCCAGCAAGATCAATTTCCAGCTACTCAATGGCATCTTTGGCCTTTTCTTGAATACACCTTGTCTTTCGTTTCCTATGTTGGATGTTCACATGTGGGTTCATCTCAAAACCTGTGCATCATGGCAGAAGGAGAAAAACTGCAAATGTCGTCTACATAGAAGCCTTGCAATAACTCGTGGACCTGCAGGATCCCACAGTAAACCCCTTCAGTTAGCATAGCTTTGATAAGATCTTCTATCGTTCATAAGCTATGACCCTTTGATAGGATCTTCTATCATTGATGAACTATGACTTAAACAAGCAGTTTTGCTTAAGGTGTACACACAATGTTTATGGCACGTACGATGGTTTGTGAGTGGTATCACTGAAATCTACATTCCATATTGGATCCTTTGGTTGCAAGCGTAACTTCAACGGCTACAGCTAGTTCGGCTATAATAAATGACTTTATGGCACAAATTGAAAAATTGGAAAGCTTCAAGCCAAGATATAATTTAAAAGGAACAATATTTGGTTGAATAAGCTTCGCAGGAGCAATTATTATATCAATTAATGCATTTTTTAAAGAAGCTAGATATATTTATAATAGAACATTGGGTTGAAATGGAGGACATTAGGTTAGGATCAAATACTGCATGGGTTGTCATGATTTTATTGGCTGGCGTTTTAATGATTTTTGGTTATTGTGTTTTTGAGAATGGTTCAGTTATCCCTCAGTTCATGAGGAAGTGGTTAAAAAAAGAACAAGAAAAGGCTATAGCTTCCCCCCCCACTCCTATCCTGACTCTGTTTTGACTTACTTTACCATTATCTACACTTGTTTTCACAATTTATTTGCACCACTCAAATTGCTGGCAGATCTGTGTTAATTCAGTGCATAGCCTGAGTGGCAGGAGAGGAGAGTAGAGATGGAAGAGTGAGGTTTTGTCCTAATTCATGGAAAGTTTGTGTAGTCCAGTGCTTCTTGAAAGGGGAAAGGAAACCTCCATGGGCACTCACTATATTAGGGCCTCTTTATACCAGGAGATCCATGATTTGGGGTTCTGGTTATTATGCATTGTTGCCACTAACTCCAGTACCTTCATTTTGGAGAGCCCCTCAGCATAATCCATACTCCTGGCTGCCTGCGTGAGCCACATGGCAATACTCTAGATACTTCTGTCTAACAAACTGAGCAGTTTCTTCACATCTCCAAAATTTTCATGCTTCTCTGCAGGATCGACCACAAAGTTTCTTCGAAATGTGCTAAAGCAAAGAGTTTTTTTTTAAAGTAACTGAAGGCATGGCCACTGATGGTGTTGAGAAATTGGGGGACGTGCAGCAGTTCGCTGAGTGAAGAGGGTGGGTAGAGGAATGGGATACGTGTAGTATGTGAGATAGAAGTGGGCTACTAGAATATGATTCCAAAGGTCAGAGTGGTTAGAGTACGGAATGCTCTACCTCAAGAAGTGGTTGAGGCAGAATCCATGTAGCTTTCAAAAGGGAACTGGCTAAATGCCTAAAAGGAATCAACTACAGAAGTATGGGGAAAATGCAGGATAGTAGGACTGAAAAGATTACTCTTAACAGAGCCAGAGCAGACTGGTAGCTGAATGGCTTTCTGTGCTGTAAGTTTCTATGGTTCTATTCCATTTGTGGCTTTCTATAGATTTTCATCCAACATCCATAGATCTGATAGCTTCCAGCAGTATATTTCGATAGAAATCTGTTGTTATAATGAGATCAACTAAGTGATTTCGATGCAAGTGTGCAACCTTTCCAGCCTGGATAGCTGACTGCTGGTTTCTGTAATATGCTTGACTAAAGCATTGTGTGTGCAACACTGTTGTATCTTTAATAGTTATTGCATGATTAAAATAAACTACAGTTGGACCGCATTGTAACAACGTTAGCTGTGTTTCCTGCAGCGAAGAGAGTGACCAGAAGGTGATGTCAGTGACTGCCATTTTTATATTTAACTTTCATTTAATGGACCTAAAGCATGGGGTTGTAATGAGGTCTGACTGCAATAACAATTTACATTTCTATAGCGCCTTTCACGTTGGGAAGACGTCCCAAGGCCCTGACTATAATATTCATATTATGTGACTCCTGTGACCCATGTGACATTTCTACAGATAAATAAATAATCCATGTATTTGATATTGTGGCTTTCGTGTCAAAGCTGTTTCAAAACCATTCACAAGATTTACTGAAATGTGGAGTGACTGTGTAACCTAACGCAGAGGTTATTATACCTGGCTTCTAGCCCTGACTATCTGACGTCTTGCTTTAATAAATGCTCAACTTCTCGGTTGCCTGGTGGCCGCTGAAGTCTCTTCCTGCGCATGATGTAGATTATAAATTTGCTTAGTTTTAGCAGCTTTTTAGCTCCCAGATCTGGGAGTCCTGTTGATGTTTGAAAAACAATTTTAATTCCCAACATACATGAAAATAACAAGATGTTGATTTAAGATCCTTTATAGTTTTCCATATGTGCGCTTGCATTATTAGTAACTGAATAAACTATGCAAATTACCAATTTCTGATAAGATAAATTTTTATTTTTTCATTTTTGCTATTCTTTCAATAAAAAAATTATTGTTGATGTAACTTTCTGTTAGAAATGTTAAAAACTAATGTATTCTGGGATTGACTCGTATATTAGTAATCTATTCCAACCATTGTTAATGGAAGGCGACTGACTGCATTTGTCCAAGGACGTTTGATCTATTAGGTCAAATACCAAATTGTTCATTGTGCTGTGGGTAACATTTTGACTTACTGGAGTGATGTTGTTCATCTAACATCTGAACTTCTGAACACAATCTGTCATAAAGCAACACTTCCAGTATTCAAAGTGAACAGCAGCTCCTGAACATGATAAATCTGCCTTGCAATAGATTGGGATGAACCAGAGCTAAACTTGGATATAATGTGGTGAAAGCTATTTGTTCAAGATTATTTTGTGTATGTATATATTCCTGTACATTTAATTCTTAATATGTAAACTGGACAATGAATGAAATGCGTGGAATGTATTCCCAACTTCATTTATGCAATTCAGTTGAAAGTATAGATGCAAATCAAAAAAGAATCATGATTTAATTTATACAGCGAGAAGTTATCTGTGTACTCAACGATAGATTTTATTACAAAATTAGAACTAATGTCCCTCAAAATTAGCAGTAATGATATTACAAGACTCTTTAATACCCATCTGTGAACATTTTGCTGTGCTGCTTTCCATCCGTGCTGTGACCGGTTCTGCCTTCTCCCATCTCCGCAACATCTCCCACCTCCGCAACATCGCCCACCTCAGCCACTGCCTCAGGCTGCTGAGACACTCATCCATGCATTCATTATAACCGAGCAGCTGACAAAAGTTTCTAATGAAAGAAAAAAATTGCTCACCACAGAAGAATATTATTATGTTTTTAACACATATTACTGTTTTGTTATTGACCTGAATAAGCGAAGCATCCCATTATGTGTGGTTTCTATAAATGTTACCATATAGGGATACTTGTATATCGAATGTCTTGATTATTGAACCACTTTGTCCCATAGCACATGAATGCATATAAATAAAATCAGAAAAAAAGATTTTTCAAGCCCGGGTGACTCGTACACACACATTCCTTGAATGAAAAAAACGGACAATAAGCAGTAATGATTAGCAATAGGAAATCTGGCAACCTACTCAATGTTGAACCTACCCAATTATAATGAATTGCCCAAAAAAGTCATGTTTTGGGTTGTCCCGTATATCACTTCCCATGTGTTGCTCACTCTGTGCAGGAAGAGCTATTGACATCACTTTGCTTGCACTGCACATACATGTGCAATAAGTGCTGCTGATGTCACGTCCTAGTCAGCAGGGCTTCTTGTATCTTGCATGTGCAATGTGCAGATGTGACATCAGCAAAATTTCCCGCACATTTGCATGATGTGCCAGAAGTGACAACACAATCTGATTACATGGAAATTGGCAATTTTTAGTGTGGGAAGGTGGCTCATCAGCACTGTAATTGGGTTGTACTATGCTTCCAGTAAAGCGCTGTTGATTAAGTGAACCTAGGATCAAGTGGGGAACATTTTAATGGAGCAATCCGCTAATGACAGGTTTATTGTTATAACCCTTATAACGTTGATTTTTTTTTAAAAATCTGCTTATTTCTGCAACAGAGGAAGAACTAAGGAAGCTGAGGGAAGAGACTAATGCTGAAACACTAAAGCAAGAACTGGAAAAAGAAAAACTGAAACGAATGGAGCTAGAACAGAAAGTATCTGACATACTTAAAACGAGGTACGGAGTTAAACTAGTTAATGTACAGGTTATTGGGGGGTGCAGTTGACCAAAAGGAGTACTTCATATCTATGTTAGTGAGGGTCAGGTTGCATATAGCCAGTTGTTAATTTCTTAGTTGGTGGCACTCAATTCAGATTTGGAACGTTGTGGGCTAAAGGTCCATGTCAGAACTTTGAACTCACTGTCTGGGATGACACTAATGCAGTGCTGAGGACGCTCTGCAATGTCACAGGTGCCATCTTTCAGGTGAGATTTACAATAATGGATAATGAGATAATGGGTAGTTGTGGCACCACAATAGATTATAAGGAAAAGTAGGTGGAAAAAAGAACATCCAGCATTCTAACTATTATGTAGCCCTAATTAGGTACGGATACAAAAGATGTATGATGAGATATGGGAGATATAGTCCCAAAAGTAGGGCATTAGGTAACTGACCTGTAATATGGGATTTTGTGAGGATACTCATTTATTCAGCTTGTACTGCGTTGCTAGGCAAGTACGTAAAACTTGGTTCAAACATTCTGATTTTGTTTTTAAAGAGTACTACATTGCTGCATAAATTGTTGAGGAAGTTTAATAAGTTACTGAAACATGTATTTCTCCTGCCACTGCCACAGTGGTTTCCATTCTAGATTGTAAGGATTTCCAGAAAGAGTCAATTCGGCACAATTTGCCATTGAGAACATTGACTAGTCCAGCTACTTGTCCCGTTCAGACCATTTAGGGCTTTGGCTTGCTTTGTTAGCAGGAGCTGAGCGGGAAGAATTCCTGCCCTTCCAAGTCCTGCTGATGAGCCTGCCTGGTTGGTCTGTCATCAGGAGTGCCCTGAGGTATTGAGATACCTGTCTGGCTCAAAAACTGGACTATTGAAGCTGCCACAGAGAATTGACTCAATTGTGATATTCTGTTGCCATACACAACTCCCAAGGAGACTGCGCTTGCTTCCTTCTCCCCTGCCCCTGCCCCTCGGAAGATAGTCACTAGTTGGTCATTTGGCTTTGTCATTTGATTTCAAAAATCTCCTGCTTTGAATCCTTTCCTTTAGAAAAACAAAAATATACTCATGCTGATATTGCACTTCACCTTAACAAAAACTGTCACCTGATGATGGAAATTGTATATTCCCTCAGTGAAACAAAACCCTTTGAATGTATAAGTTTGGTATTTAATTGCCCAATTTCTCTAAATTTGGCCAGTTTATTTATATTTGTGTTTATATTTATATTTATGTTTGCCAAATTTTCATTTCTTTTAGAAGTGATGATTCTTCAAGTCAACAGTCTTTGAAAGTGCAACCTCCGGTGAATGGAACAGGTAATTTACAGTCTTTGTTTTATATGTTTTATTTTGGAGGACAGAAATGCCAGTGGAGGAAAAAAAGCATATAATGGAGGAGTAAATGGAAGGACTCTTCCTAAAATTATAATGTTTTACAATTTTAAAATGCAACAAAATAAAAACTAACATGATTGGTGTTTCACATCAGTACATTTTTACATAAATATTTTTTTCAAACTTATATATCTTGATAGTTTGTTGTAGGCAAGGCTTAATCTTTCCATTGGCAAAAATAAGAATAATATGAAAAAATATGTAAGTTGGAATGTAAGTTGGAACTGCCTAGAATACAACTGTTAAAAAAATTATTAATATTGTATTGCAAAACTGATGTGCAGTCATTCAGTTAAATAATAATTATTGGAAGTTGTCACCTTTTCTTTGTTGAAATATTGCTTATTTGAGAGTATTTATTTCAGTTTCAAACCTGCCTGGGCATCTGAATGTGAGCGATGTTTTAGAGGCTGGAACGGATGCATCCTACAGAATAAACTGGCTAATTTCTTATGTTTATCTAGCTGTGACAGAGTAAATTATTAATTATTTCAAACCTTGCAAAATGGATGTACCAGCTTTGGTTTTCTATAACTGAATAAGGCTGATCAGAGACTCCTTAGCTTAGTATTTAGATCATTAGTTTTATAGTCAAGGAAGATGCATTTGATATTTACCAGTGCCCAACACCAATCATTTTGTAGTATTTTAATACTGTAAAACATTACATAGTGCACTCCGTATAATTACATGGAGTTAGGATTGGACAGACGTATACAATTATACAGAATATGCAATTACCTGAAGTTCATTAGTGGCACCACCTTTCCATCACTATCTGCGCTACCTCTCTTTACATCTCCTGCTCTAGCTCACTTCCCATTTCTCTCTGCGCTACCTTTCCACCATACATACACCTCACCAGTCAATTCCTTAATTATCTGAACTAATTATGCAGGTAAAAATAAAATCGACTGGCTGTCTTTTATGCAATTAAGCAAATTATGCAGTTATCCAATATGCATTTGAGAGGAGTGCAATAACATGCAAACAAATTTTCAGTGCCTAGAAATTGCTATGCAGTTAAATGGAGCTTGCGATTATCCGATATGTAATTATGTGGAGTGCACTGTAAATGCACTCATTTATATAAATACATAAATAAATATAAATACCCTGGCTTATTTGGTAGTACTCTTGGCTCTGAGTTAGAAGGCTGTGGGTTCAAGCCAATGTCAGAACTTAATAATAATAATAATCCTTGCATTTGATATAGCGCTTTTCACGTCGGGAGAACGTCCCAAAGCGCTTCACAGAACACACTGTAAAGTGAATTGACTGTATATTTGTGGGCGAACGTGACAGCCAATTGCGCACAGCAATGTCCCACAAACAGTCGTAGATTAAAAATGACCAATTTATTATTGTTTTTGGTTTTGGAGGGATTATTACTAGGCTCTGTGTGGAGTAAGGAAACTTGCCCAAGGTTTCGCCCTCTGCCTGGAATTGAACTCAGGTCTCTCGCTTTCAAAGCGAGTGCTCTAACCACTGAGCTACAGGACTCCACTTGCATTGAATGTACATAATCTAGGGTTCACTTTAAATGAGATGGTAAATTGATTAATTAATCTGTGTGCACCTAATTAATCTAGGTGCATATTATAAAGATCCCATGTCATTATTCAAAAAGAAAAGGGAATTTCTCCCAGTTAAAATTGTTCATTCACTTCATGGCTGTAGGACATTGCTGTGTGCAGATTAGTTGTCACATTCCATACAAATATATTTTACAGTAAATCCTGTGAAACGCTTTGAGATGTCCTCCTGACATCAATGGCACTATATCAAATGTAAGAATTACTATATTATAATACATTTTGAATATTTTAGGATTTCAATATGAAAACGCTAGCACAAATTTTAGAACAGTGAGGAGGCAATAACATGGAAGTGTTGTTACTTTAAATATACTGTATTTTTTGTCATTACATTGGGAATGTTTATCCCAGGATTTGACAAACAATCCTTGGAGATGATGAACCTTTTGAAATGTTTAGTCCACTGCCAATGAGAACTCAGAAGACTTTGTTACTGTGCTTATATTTGTTTTCCTGTACATACACCATTAAGTCTGGCAGCAGCTTGTCTAACTTATCTATATGGATGAAAACAAGTAAACTGCAGTAAAGTATAAATAGTGTAATTTGATATTTTCCCTTATCAGTTCTTTCAGAAAAACTCTAAATAAAATGTTATAATTTTAATCCACACAATATTTATTAGAATCTGCTGCCACATAAAAACAACAACAAATTACAGTGAAAGATGTCCCAGGACTCTGGACAGTCAGGGTATTTTGGACTTCTGACATAAGGAGACAATTAATAATAATAACAGGAAAACCATGATTTTGAGACTTGACACCCTGGACTGTTCACAAGTAATATTGAATTATTTTAGCTTCATTGGCATCCAGAACTTATACAGTATAAATTCACACAAATGATTATGATGAATGCAGAATGTTTTATGACTTCTCGCTTAATTTGGGAGAACTGCATTATTTTGGAAGGTTGCAATTCTAATCTGAAATCCAAGCAAAAGAGAGAAATTCATCAAAACAAGTTGGTGAAACTGCAGTTGTGATTTTATTGTTCTACAAAATATTGGTGCCATTTTGTTTTGTAGAGAAACGTGGAAAAACATTCTACTCCAGAGTTTACAAATGGTTCTTTGAGAAGTTTTCAGTATATATTGAAGATTTCCAATTTCAGCTTGAAGAGAACTCAGTAGAAACTGAAGAACCTCTGAGTGCTAAACGGTACAGTTTGAATTCATTTTATTCAAAGTTAAATGATTTTTTGAAGTTTCTCTATGATAATATGATGGTTTCCTATGAAACTTTCAAACCTAATTACTGAAGCTGGATCTTAAATGGAAGCAATTTTCTCTTTCTCCTCTCTTTCTCTTTCCATTCTCTCACATTTTCTCTCTTCTTGTCTAGTAGAAACTTGTTGTAAATAATTTTTGATACTTAATTATAATTGTTAGACTGTATAAAGCTCCGGTTACAATGGCATCCTTGAGGTAAATGCAATGGATTACACAAAGTAAAATATTAATTTCATGGAAAGATGGTAACATTTCCTGGAAAGTCACCATAATGTTTATAGGTAAACATTTCTGTTTTAAAATAATAGGAACAGTGAAAGGCAATTGTTTCAAAGAAGTTTGCTAGAATCTTCCACTTTCCCCTAAGAGAGTCAAGTGACAAATGAACAAAGGCTATTTTATTTGACAATAAACTGATTATGTACCTCCAAAACCATTTTCTCCCTGCCCTCCATCCTCCCCGATCCAGACACTCAGCTTGGGTCCAAATCCCTGAGTGTCCAATGCCTTGGGACATCCTCCCAACATGAAAGCCGCTATACAAATGTAATCTTATATAGTATTGTAGATCCCTGTCTGTACGAGAACTTGTTTAAAGTCACAAATGAGATTTCCACAAGCCAATCACATTGAGAATATAATAATAATAATCCTTGCATTTGATATAGCGCTTTTCACGTCTTTCAAGCCAGTTGCGCACAGCAGTGTCCCACAAGCAGTCGTGGATTGAAAATGACCAATTTATTATTGTTTTGGAGGGATTATTATTAGGCGTGTGGAGTAAGGAAAATTGCCCAAGGTTTTGCCCTGCCTGGAATTGAACCCAGGTGTCTCGCTTGCAAGGCGAGTGCTCTAACCACTGAGCTACAGGACTCCACTCTATTGGTTTATAAAAGATATATATATATTGGTTTTACAAACTGGAATGTAATAAAACTCCTGATCTATTTAACGTTTAATTGTCAGACAGTCTAGTAGAAAGGAATGAAACAATAGTGCAGGTAGTACTAACATTTATTACCTTTTTTGAAAAAAAAGTGGTGTGAACTCCTTTAATTTGATGAGCATTCATATCTGTGCTGTAAGATAATTACTTTTAAATTCTATATGATGAGGACAATATTTATATATCCAGTGCAGGATTTAAAATGTTTTAGAAGTTACATCATAGAAGATGAAAATATGGTTATCTCCACGTTGTAAGTTATGTATTTTTATATCCAATGGTGACAACTAAAATAATAATGGCTCTAATGTGTGTTTCCCAATTATTTTGCTTGTGTAGGTTAACAGAGAACATGAGAAGATTAAGTAAGTATATTTTTGAAATCCACTAAAAATAGTAAGATTGTGGAAGAGGAGTGGAAAATACATGCTTGAGCACAGAGATTTTATTGAGATTAGACATTTCCATAATGTTTGTATAATTTATATAGATAGGGTTTATACAGTGTGTCATAATACCAGATTAACATCGTGGTTGACAGTATTGTGATTTTGGTTCTAATTGGGTAAACTGCGAAATGTTAATGTTTAGCAGTTGTGAGTATTTGGTCAATTCTTACTTGAATTAGTTTTCGCTTTTGGGGGAGGTAAAAGAGCAACTATTATTATATTGTTAGGGAACAACACTTTTAAACGTTTAAATGGTGCATTCACAAATATTGGTGGGATAGTTTCTTCGATTGAAATCTTTAGATATAAAACTACAGGATTAAGCTTTGTGTTTTCAATTTGTTTTCAGAAAGAGGTGCCAAGCCAGTTACCAATTTCTTAAAGAACCTGTCGGCCTTATCAAATTGGCACTCTGTATACACTTCTGTAATTGCCTTTATTGTAAGTAACCAGTTATGTAACCGTTTCAGATGTCTGATACATAATATATTATGGTATTTCCATTTAAAATATACCAGCACAATATACTTGGTACATAACTGTATCCCATATAAATGTGCAGAGCATTATTATTTGCATTCACTGTAACGTATAATTTTTCTTTACATTTTCTGTTTTATCATCACTGTAAAGATAGCCTTTTGTTTGCATTGATATACTATAATATTAATTTTTATTATAAGGTGTAACAACCTGTGACCATCTGCCCTCTGGGAAGCAGGTATTACACTACAGCATACAGGCATCTCCAGAATAAAAAAAAACACCAAAGGCACATAAAAGTCATCATCTCTTGCCTTACACATCAAGCAGCAAATATTACTGATCCCACACATTTTTTCCAAATACTTGACATGGAGGATCATTACATAACATTTACACTGCCATTCACCAGATGTTAAATGCGCAAGAGAATCCCCACCATTCACCAGCACAATTATCAGAAAAGAATCTTTACCCAATGTACACAAATAAATATTTGACTAATATTTTAAAAAGGTTGTCTAAACTGAATACTTATGAGAAAGAGTTTATGATCCAGATTATACTTGTTAATCAAGTATGCATAATCTGAGCTATTTGCTCATGAAGTAGCAGATCGCGTTTCCTTGTGTGATACTAAATTACTATTAGTCTCATCAGAATCCCTTCAAATGAAAGGTTCTGTTGCTTCAGAGCTTTTTGCATTTTGGTTGAAATGAATTCCGTACAAATTGTGTTTGTTGCACCCTTGATGCAACATATATTTGCACGATTTACTTCCACCCCTTACCCTAAATTGTGCAAATATATGTTGTTATCAATGTTGCTATTAATCTGGCTTGTTTTGAAACAAAACAGATCTTTTTTTTGACTAGGTGGTCAAGGTCTTATTTAATATAATGGAAATGATTTGACGTATCAAACATTTGATGGTGTGTGGTGTTTTGCAATTTATACTCACTAACTGCATTAATAAATTATTGGAATTTTGCTAATATTGGAAATCATAATATTCTACATTACTAGTAACCTTGCCTTGTTTTCCAGATCTACATGAATGCTGTATGGCATGGCTGGGCCATTCCTATGTTCTTATTTCTGGCCATTTTGAGGTTGTCTCTAAATTACCTCATAGCAAGGTATTAACCCTCCCATTCCTTTCACTGTCCTTTTTTAAATAAGCAAAATACTAATAGTACTTCAATTTGTTTTTAAAACAAATGAAAAAAATATTGGTGTTTAGAATTTAGGGAAATGCTAAATTGGGTTAGATTTAGCTGACAGATAAATGGGAGACTAACATGTCACTCAGTTTTCTGTAGGCTCCCACACTATAGTAATCATTCTGTGGAAACATTTTGAAGTACTTCACAAAATTTTCCTTTCAAGTGTAGTGGATGTGGCAGCCAATTTGTCCACAGCAAAGTCCTACAAATAATAAAATAATCCTTGCATTTGATATAGCGCTTTTCACATCTTTTAGACGTCTCAAAGCGCTTCATAGAATATACTGTAAAGTAACTTGACTGTATATTTGTGGGCGAATCGCAGCAGCCAATTGCGCACAGCAATGTCCCACAGTCATGACCAAATTATGTTTTTTTAGGGATTATTATCCCCGGAAAAGTGATCGCCAAGCGACTAACAATCAGGTTCCTACTTACTGCTAGGTAAACAGAGGCTTGTGGAGTAAGGAAACTTGCCCAACATTTCGCCTTGCCGGGAATAGAACCCAGGTCTCTCATTTGCAAGGCGAGTGCTCTAATCACTGAGTGACAGGACTCCACAAAGACATAGGAGATTAAAGACCTATGTCTTTAATGTCCACCTAAGCAGCTGAACATCTCATTTTAATGAAGAATGGTACTTCAGCCCTATGCCCAGGCATGCAGATGACACCTAACTCCATCTTCTGCCTCTATCCTCGATTCCAAGACTACTGTTGTTCTAAAGTGTTTTGTTGGACTAGCCTGTCCTGGATGAAAACTAACTTTCTTCAGTTGAATGTCAACCAGACAGGTGCCCTCCTTCTTGGCTCTTGTCAGCATCTTCTCACCTCAAGCGCTGCCAGCAACACTATACATGGATGCACACTCCATCTCATCGAGCTAGGACAGAACATCAGTATTTTGTTGGACTCTCAACTGTCCTTTATTCCCCACATTCATGCCTTGACCTGTTCAGCCTTCCCCCACCACCGCAGCATTGCCTGTCTCCGGTACTACCTTTCCCTTCTGGCCGCTGAGACCCTTGGCCATGTTTTTTATCACTTGACTATGTTAACTCCCCGCTCACTGGATTTCCCAACTCTTACCTTCCACAAGCTGCAGATTATTCAGGAATTTGTAGCTCAGGTCCTCTTCCACAATAGGCTCTATGATCTTATTACCCCCATCTTCGTCCACTGGCTCCCCATTCCCCAGAGAATCTGCATCCTCACTTTTAGATTCCTCTGTAGTCTTGCCCCACCCGACCTCTGCGACCTACTAACCTTACCAACCCGCCTGCTTCCTCCACTCAGCAGGCCTGCTTCATGTGTCCCCCCATATCGACGATTGGGCTTTCAGCCTTTCTGCCCCTCCCGCTAGAACTGCATCCCGTAATCCCTTCACCTTGCCCCTTCCCTTGTCTCCTTCAAGGTCCATCTCAAGATCTTCCTTTTTGATCATTCCTTTGGTCATCTTCCCACCCCAACCCTCTTGAATCCAACCCCAGCTCAGGGGCAAACTTTAGATTAGCCAGCCCCATGGGATATCCTCCCAAAGTGAAAGACGCTACATAAATATAATTTGTTGGTTTGTGCCATAAACATTAAGACTTAATATTTCAGATGAGCATTTCACTTTTTCTAATAAAGCTAAATATGCATACTAATTTGGTTGCTAATGTTTACAATACGTATATGCTACAATTTCAGAAATGGTATTTGCCAGATTGAGCAATAAATTGATATCTATTCATTTGATTAATTATTCTAATTTTTTCAGAGTGTGTAGCCTTTTAAAATTACATTTCTGAAACATTATCTGAATTACTGCATAACAGTATGCAGACTGAAAGTGTTTTTCTATTTAGCTTTAGCTTTGAGTCTCTGATTTCATGGTTCACACATACACAATATATCTGAAATTATAAAGTGAATAAAGATTTTGTGTAATTTCTTGGTGGATTGTAGGACCATTAGTGTACCATAACTAAATTATAGACAGATTATGTAAATGTAAAATAAATATATTCCTTGCATTTGATATAGCGCCATATCGTGTCTTTGAGATATCTCAAAACGCTACACAGAAGTGTAAGGTGTTTTGACTGTCTAATTTGTGGGTGAAACGTGACATTAAGATGTTTTAACATCATGTGTTGGGTTTTAGTGTGCCAGTGCCAGACTTTACTGTCTGGCACTGACAGACACTGGGAAAGCAGGGCAATACAATTTTAAAAAAATACAAACTACTTTGCATTATTAATTATGCTTAGGCATAATCTTGGTGATGATTATAAATTAATTGTTTATTTGCCACAAAAACATAACGTTTCAGACGCAGCATGTAGTTTATCGGTTAGAGGACTCACCTCACAAGCGAGACCATCCGGGTTTGATTCCCAGGCAGGGTGAAACCTTAGGCAAGTTTCTTACTCCTACTTACTGTTCAGTAAACTGTTCTGTTTACCTAGCAGTAAGTAGGAACCCTGTTGCTAGTCGAATGGTAATAATAATCCCCCCCAAAAATAATAATAATAGTAATTTAGTCACTCAATCCACGACTGTTTATTGGGAACACTGCTATTCGCAATGGGCTGCCGCATTTCGCCTACAAAATACAGTCAATCCACTTTACAGTATATTCTGTGAAGCGGTTTGAGACGTCTCATCGACTAATAAAGTGCTATATCAAATGCAAGGATTATTATTGGAAAACATCTTTAATTTAATCGCTGTTGTTACACATTTATTTCTTGTGCAAAATCTGACTACAAATTTAATGTACTGCCATGTGATGCAGAGTATTATTAGATATTTTTGTGAAACAACTGCAAATTTGTGGCCATAATATTTTCTTTACATTGTATTATTTAAAATATTTACAATATCCGCTCTAGTACAGGATTTAAGTTATTCAGTATCATTTAGAAATACAAGAATATCTATCTTGCGCAAAGGTCAAATCAGTATTGATGGATTAATATTTATTCTTTTGTAAAAGTAGTATTTTACTGCATTTTTTGTTGCAATTAATTGGGAATATAATGGACCGTACCATTTTCCATCTGAGCAGTGGAAGAACAGTACATGTAACACAAAATCCTAGAATAATGTATTATGTTTGTTATTATCATTTGCTATTTTTTATACTTTGAACTATTCATGAAAATAGACTGGCTTTCAAATTCTGGCTTTTTATTCTCTCTGCATATGATAAAGTGACTATTTATTTATCAATGACAAAATTGTAGAATTAATATAAATCCAGGTTCTTTGATAAATGTCAGTTGCTTTCCCTAGAAAATGTACCTGTTCTCTTTGCAAATTGGTTTGGTTTGAGGTGTGAGAGGAGAATTGTGACAGCAGCTTTGATGAATGGGTTCTTTGTAACTATGGGGAGAAAGAATATTGGTTATTATTCGTTCATCCTCTTAGATCTGGTATTTTCTCAAAAGTGATATGCAAGGTTTTCAGATTTTGCCTAAATCTTTATTATTTCTTACATAATTTCTCTATTTTGTAGGGGCTGGAGGATTCAGTGGAGTATTGTCCCAGAAGTAGCAGACCCCGGGGTAATCTTGTTAAATTGTTCTTATAGATGTTTAGCTTGACAGAATATAATTTCCTTCATAGTGCAATTAAGCATTTAAAATGTTTGCTTATGTCCTTCAGTAACTCTTACATTTCCTTAGTTTGATCCATTCCAAATCATTTTTGATACCTGGAAATGCAATTTCTAAAAAATGACCCTGCGAATGTATTTAAAAAATCTTAAATTACTGTTAGACTAATATTGGAGTAAGTCTAAATTAATTCTCATTTCATTCAGGTAGAATATTTTAACTGAACCTTTGGTAATTTTCAAAACTTTTGTAAAAATTTGAGTCTAATTCCATAAAATTTATAATTGGTTTTAATGAGCATCACAACCAATGTTCTTCCCAGAATACACTGTATCTGGAATCACATACACTGTATAGAGAAAAGCAGAGAAAATCTGCATTTTAAACCTCCTTAAACTACTTTGTACTAATCATTACTTTACAATTTAATAGTAGCTTAGAACACTTTTTTTTAGAAATGTAGGACACTGAATAAAATTAGTCCATGAATACATTAGCTGCAGTGTTTTTATGCGGTTTATTTGGAACATTATGTACTAAATGCCAAACTTTCTTTTAACAGGAGCCTTCAAAAGAAGACCTTACTGTATCTGAAAAGTTCCAACTGGTCCTTGATGTAGCACAAAAAGCACAGGTATTCAGAAGTTCTGCATGTTTCTATTCTGGGCCTTTTGTTGTTGACAAATAATAATGAGGAGGGTACTGCATGTATTATTACAACATTTGTGGAAGATATCGAACTGTGTTGAAGTCACCATATAAGGGTGCTTGATAGGATTCAAATGATATGATGAAATGATTTCAAATATGTCAGATTTTAGTGTAGACAGTTGTAACAGTGGTTTAAGAAAAGGATACATGGTGATATTGTATAAACAAACTAGAATGCATTGAATTAATTGGCAATCATTCACAGTCAGTTAGAAACCATTCCATGGCAAATTAGATGGTTGGTAGTCTGATTCCATCTTTTTCATGACTTGACATGAAAGTGTTCATTTAGTCCTCAAAAGCTTGTCTTTTGGAAGAGCATTTGTGCACATCTCTAAGTGGGTTCAACTTTCAAATTTGAATTCCAGAATCTTTTTGGCAAGATGGCAGATGTACTAGAAAAAATCAAGAAGTAAGTGGTTGCTATATTTTCAGATGCTATATTTTTTTAAATCTGAAAATAGCAATGTAATGTGAAATTAAAGCTGTTTACTAACTATCTCTTCTTTTTCACAGCTTATTTACATGGGTGCATCCTGAAATAACACAGAAGTTGTATATGGGTCTGTGGGTTGCTTTTGTTGCGTCTTGCTTCTTTCCATACAGAATTCTTGGCCTCATTATAGGTAAATAAATGACAACCTGTGGTTGTACTTCTTTTATTTACTTTCTTTTAGCTGTAAAGCTTAATGACTTCATTCTTTGCAATTGACTACATAAAATGTAATTTATGTCTTAGTTTCTTCCTGATAAAGGTTGTAAACTAACTGATTTTGTGTCATCAGATATTGAGTACTTTGGTCATGTGACATGAACATCTGTTTCCATAAGTTGTGTACTGTGTCCTCAATGTAATACACTCAGAATTAGATTCTAATTGAAGTCCAGTGGGTCTTTAGATCCTTTCACCGCTGGACAACTGTATTGACTAACTGAGGAATATAGGGGTTGGAAGTCAAAAACAAATGTACAGTGTTATTTTCTTCATTCTCTGAATAGATTGTCTGCATGAAGTAGGATTTACCATTCATTCTTTTTTGAGATCCTGCTGTTTTCATGGATTTCAGGTCATTCACATATACCAGGAACAGGAAAGGGGGTCCTCGGGCTATACAACAAACTTGTCCCCTTGGCCGAGCTCCCCTTATCTATCATCTATCTATCATCTATATCCATCAGCCACTTACTTATTTACACCCACATATTACCCATGATACCCATATAATCACAATAATAACTTTCATGTAAGAAGGTTAAATGTACATCAAAATAAATCCCTGGAAATAGGTTTCAATGTATTTAATTTCATTGCATCTCTGAGTAGAAAAACCTATTAACCATTTCAGGTATTGGTCCATCTAGTTACCTATCTAATACCCCAAAAGATTCCTTTGATGACATCTCTCCTCCATTTCCCCCATTTATTTATCTTAAATCAACACACTATATCATTCTGTTTCAGGGCTTTATGCAGGAATCAAGTTTTTTCTCATTGATTTCGTCTTCAAACGATGCCCAAGGCTACGTGAAAAATATGATACTCCTTATATCGTTTGGAAGAACTTGCCCACAGACCCACAATTGAAAGAAAGATCAAATGCTACACTGACAAGACGGGTAGGTGACACAGTCTACTGTCAGAGTTTTTTTTTAACAGCTTTTGATCCTATTTGGTGGCTAGAATATAGACCATTAACTAGATACTTGGATTTGTTACTGTCCATCTGTTCACATTTTCAATGTGGATTGGTCAATAACACTATCTGATCAAAGTATTAATATTAGAAAACCTTGGTTAATTTGTATGTTTCTTAATATCCTAATGCAATCTTTGCAGAAGGTTAAAACACTTATTTTGTCAAATATTGTGGCAAATATTTTAGCAAATATTTTATAAATTCCCATCAATGTATTTAGAAACATGTACAGTGTGAGAATAATTAAAATTAACTTTTCATTGATTGAAAATAATCACTTGTTCCAGCCACTCATCCGTCCGCTTAATGATGAATAATTTTGTGGAGTTTGTATGTCTGTGTGTGTGTGTGTGTCTGTGTGTGTGTGTGAAAGAGAGAAACTTCCTGGGGTAAATAATTGGAAACTAAAATGTTTAAGTTTAGCATGTTGTAGAGTAGCCTTGACTTGTTTTGTTGTCCCTGTTACATATGTTTTATTTCTTTTCTTGCTAGCTGTCAGGGCTTGAAAAGGTAGGGTTTAAAAAGTCTTTGTGCACTTTAAAATCGTTCATATAAAATAGATAGAGTGATTGTGTGGCTTGGTTGAAATCTGTGGACATGTATTGTCTTGTTTGTTGAAGTACTGTACAGTTAGTAGACATACTTGCTGCTGTTGCTGAAAGTGGTGTTTCTGAAAGGTGTTTTTGAAACTGTTTTTGAAAATGATTAAGCAACATTGTCAATGGAGCAGGTAAGGTGCATGTAGATTTTAACTTTTTATTAACAACTTGCATTTATGTAGCGCCCTTCACGTGGGGTAGCATCCCAGAACGCTTGGCAGTGGCGGAGTCTGACAATGCTTTAAACGCAGAACTTTCCTAGTTCACAAAATTGCAGGATTATTTGAAGTAATAATCAATAAGTGTTATAATGATAGATAAAATTAAGGAACAGAAATATTTTAAGCAATATATATAAAAACAGCAACATGTTGTATTTCAATGATATTGCTGTGTTGAATTTTTAAGCAGCTCTAAAAAGGGGAATTTATTGCTTGATGTGTACTTCAGAAATATTATAATTTTAATTCACTGGGATGCATTTTTCACAAAGTTTGTGAGGAAAGAAAGGCTTTCAAATATTGTTGCATTTTATCAGTTTGGTATATATCATAACTTGTATGCATTTGAAAGCCCCACAGCCGATTATAAAGATGAACACCATTTTTTCTGCTGAAGTACACATGAATTTGGCTAAGAATAAAACAAAATCACAGATATAAACCTTGGTTCTTCCTCTCAGGCATAATACCGAATGCTGTCATAATTATGTGAATTTAAAATGTTGAACACTAGATGGCTATAACTTCCATAATTTTTTGTGCGATGATGTTGCAAAGGTATACAATTTATATATTGATGGTGTTTTCATACATAATGTTCCTACACATTGGACCATCTAATTTTGAAACATATGCGACAGGAAAACCCAAGCTCCTAATTATGGTAGATGTAATTATGCCATTTTAAAAATGTATAATTCATATAAAGAAGCTGACTACATAGAAACCTTAATCAATGGGAAAGATTAGTGCAACATTTCTGAACAAAATGAACTTCAAATGCAGGGGTCTCCAACCGATCGATTACTGCTAGGTGACGCTATTGCTTATGATCAAAAAGACAATAGGAAGGAGTGATAGGAATGTATCGTTATTGAGTCAAGTTGAAAACAAAAGTCAGACGCACAAAGTATTTCATGCATTTGGAAATAAAAAATTTTTTAATGCTAAAGCTGTGGTAAATATTGCTCCTGCCTCTTGTTTTTATTGAGGATGATGTCATCTTGTGACTGGTTGCAGACCCTGGGCTCAAATGCATGTGCATTTACTGAAGAAAAGGCTGTTGGCTTTTAATGTCTTGAAGGCAAAGTATTTCTGAAAACAATAATCTATTTATTTGAAAATGCAAGATTCTACATCTCAAATGTGATGGCATTTTCATATGCAATCTTTTTTTCAAATCTAAGTACCCCCCCAATTAGCAGTGGTTAGTGTGATTGGAGTAATGCAGATAACAAATCAAAAGTTTAAAATAAGTTTTCTGAAGAGCACTTTAAATAAGGTCTTCTTAAATTTTATTTTCAACTTTGTTTTATTTAGTTTACCACACTTGATCTTAACCAAATGGCCAAGAAGACTAGCTGAGAGCTGCTCAAGCTCCACACCTCCACTGGTGGAACCATTGCTCAGTGTGTCTGAGCTGTGGGCAGGAAGATGTTGGCACTGCTCTCACCTACTTCATGCTGAGCTGTGTTGCCCATCAGGAAGGCTGCACGGAGTTACTGGTACCTTACATCTTCCTCGTGAGGACTCAAACCCACGTTTGTTGGATGTCAAATGAGCAACTATCCTCCTCGGAGGGGAGAGTGGGGTTAAATGGGGTCTCCCTGGAGCTGATCTGGCTCTAAGGTGACATTTATGGCAAAGAAATGTCAAAATGTGGCAGTCTTGGTCACCCAGTTTCTGAGCCAGGTTGGTCTGCAGTACTTCAGGCCACTGCTTATGACAGCCAGCCAGCCTGGCATATTAACCCTGCAAACCAAAGCCCTAATGTCTCTGGAAATTCCATATCTGGGTGGAATGTTTGGTTTGGATGCTCTTAAAGTGATAGGTATCTGCTTCTATCAGACCCGGCTGACCAAAATATTTCATATCTTGTGGGTCAGGATGAAATCATTTGAGATAATAATTACAGATTTGCTTAGCATTGTACTGCAGTGCTTAGTTTCTGCTTAAAGTTTGGACAAAAACGAATGGGTTCTACAGCAACCTCCAGTGGCTGAAATATGATACTGCATCAAACTTCATAATGTTCATATTTGAGCAGGTTTGCTACACATATATAGATGACAATATATTCTGCACCTAATAAAGTTGAATAATTCTAATAAAGAAGCACTTAGAATTTATTAGAATATATTAAGCAGATTTCATGACTTTTTAAAAAAAACACTTTTCTAAATATTGGAGCAGTGATTTCCATATAAAATCGTGAGCAATATTATGCAGGAAGCTTAGGGGTGAATTCCATCATTTTTTATTTCATTATCCTTATTTAATACTACAGTACATCAACTATATAAAACAACATTGTACATTTTAGCAGATTAGTTTCAGTTTTTCAAACTATTTTTACAGTTAATCTGGCGAGATCTCTCCTGAGAATCTTAAAGATTAATGATTTTAGTAATTTTTCACCTCTCAAAAATAATAGATAGTCAAGTTTTACTTTAAAATAGAGATGTTGGGTTACCATCAGAAATCTTCTAGTTTACAAGACTGGAAAAATTAAGCAAAAAGGATGAAGAAAGGGGCAAAAGAGAAGAGTCTACAAACTATCAGTCTTGCATTCACCTTTTTCTATTTTAATGTAAAACTTGATGACAGGACTAATCAGTCCCTCACTTGTGGTATTTCCCCAGATTCCAGCTGTAGCGTCCCGGAGCAGTGTCAGTGCCAACAGCATGTCTGTGTATAGCAGGGAAGATGAAGGTGGACGTCCACATAGTTCAAAGAAAAGCAATTTCAGTGAAATCTTTAACTTAGCAGAGGCTGAGCGCCCTTTGCCAGGTAGGTACGACTTATATGATGGAGCAGTGATTTCTATATACAAGTGTGAGAAAGTAATATGGCTTGGGTGGATTCAGCCTGGTCTCATACTACAGCAAATCAATTGGATGAGTAAAGTTGTTTGCAGAACACTGCACAGTGTAATCTTTTAAGCAGGATATGATTACTCAATATAAGTGCTCCTTATTTTTTTCAATTCCTAATCTAGGAGTCATTTTATATTGGGAGCCAAATGCACAATTAAACAATATGCTCTGTTTTTTCCAGTGTGTGACAATGGCTGGCGTTGCTGTCTGATTAATAGGGACAAGAAGATGCCTACTGATTACATTCGGAATGGTGTTCTTTATGTAACTGAAAAGTAAGTAATATTGCAACCTTTGTTCCCACATCTAATTAATGTATAGGAAAACAGCATTTGGAACCAATGGCCTCAGCACTTTGATGACAGCAAATATTCACAATGCATTCAGAACAACCCATCTGAATTTAGAACCCAACTGGTTTAGACAGAACAGTAGTAATGCAAGATATCGTCTTAGTAGTCTCATGTTAGTATAATAATGGATTTGAATTTGTTTTTTTTTCATATAACATGATTAAGTCAGCTATTCAACTAAGGAAATAATTATTAAGAGGCAGCCTATTAACCATTGTCAGGTTCTTTCTTAATACCTATAACTCAGTTTTTTTACAAGCATTGCCTGATGCTACAAAATGAATCCCAAATTATTTGTGCAGCAAGGCAGTGACTGCAATAGTAAGATTAGTAATGTGATGAGAATGCATAATTACTGCATTGAACAGTTTCTTTTTTGCTAGTTTTGAATGAGTCTGTTGCATTTTCTTTATCATCAATCATTTGATTTATGGTTGACCACAAAAATAATCTAAAAGCCAGGTTTATAGAAGACACAATTGAGGATCCTGAATGAATTGTATTTGAATTGTTATTTTAGACTTGAGTCAGTCTGTCAAATACTGTATCCTTTTCTTTTTCCCAGTTGTTTATGCTTTGAAAGCTCCAAGTCGGGTTCATCCAAGAAAAATAAAGTCATAAAACTAAAAGACATTACAGATATTCAAAAGGTATGTTTCTGATATGAGCTTGTAATATTTTTTGGCTGCTTCATTTAATTTTGCCATTTTTTGTTCATTGTGCAATTGCTTTTTGCTATAAAAATATTTGAATCCATCAAAAACATTTTAATTGCTTTTGAGTGCATTGTCTGCTCTCTTCCTGCTGCTTGTCCAGCTAGGTTCACCCTTCCTGTTAGGGCTGTGGCTTGCAGGATTAACTGGAGCTGAGAGGAAGAGTCCCTGTTTCCAGTTACTGGTAACTCCAAGTCCTGCCGGCTGATCTGTCATCAACATTACCCTGGAGTACTGGAGACCCACCTGGTTCAGGAACCAGCTGACTGAGATCACCACAAAGAGTTGACTTGATATTCAATTACCAGCTCAGCTCCAAAGGGACCCCCATTTACCCCTCTTGTCTACCCCTTCCTCCCCCCCGCCCCCCCAACAACAAGGAGATTTGAATTCAGGTAAAATCTAGATTGTGTTTTGAAAGCATCTCTGTAAAGCAAAGGAGAGTAAAATCTTGATCTTTACAATTAAGCTCATAGAATTGAAGTCTAATTAAATACTACAATTTCTAAACCTTTCATGAGATTCAGCATCAATTATTCAGTTTATAGCTACTGAACTCTACCACTACCACGCTGCCATTACCTCTCCCTCCATTCATTCACCCCTTTGTCACTTCCAGGTTTTATTATTTCAACGTTCTCTCATTGTACTCCAGAGCTCCTTCCCATGCAAGCTGCAGACCATCCACTACTGCAGCTTGTGTCCTCTCCAGCACCAGGTTGCACAAGCCTATCACCCCTATCTTCACTCAGCATCACTGGCACCCCATCCCACAATCCTGCATCGAGTTCAGGATTTGCATCTTCGCATTGATTCCCTTGCCCTATACTACCTCTGCGACCGCCTACTGATCTGGCCACTCCTAAGTTTCCGCAAACACTGGTCTGCTTCATGTGAGGTGAGGCACTGCTCCCACCCCCATTTCCGTCCAAATAGTGGGTGGGCTTTCAGTCATTCTTCCCTCTGGAACTTGGTCTTGGAGTGCCTTCTGTCTTTCCCTCTCCCTCCCTCTTTTTGAAGCCTGCCTTAACATTTTAAATTTTTCATGCTTTTCATTCCCCTCCCATCCTGTTCACCTCCTTGCACTGCCCCCTCCCCCAGGTGGCTTGGGTACCCAGCAAGCTGGGTGAAGTGCTTTGAGACCTTCTTCTGACTTGAAAACTGTTATGTTAAGTAGAATAGATTAGATCAATTCGGATAGATTTTCTGTAGAATTATTACAGACAACTAGAATGCATTATTAAAGAACAAATAATGACTCAGAGCGAGCCAACGTTCAAGAGTAGTATAAAGTAGGAAAAGTTTAATTTGTAACCTTGCTGTTTTATGTAAAAAAAATGTGCTCAAACCTTTTCTGTGTAATACAATTGTCCAATGAGGGATTTGTGAGTTTAAAGTTTTGGATGGGGGGTATCATTGCGTATTTGATTACAATACAGTTAGCCGTGCATTGACCTGCTTAGTATATCATGCTTTAGTAAGTTTTTTAATTTGATCACCATAATCATGACAATAGTGTAGTGAAATGAACTGAATATCTCTGGCCCAAATTGGGTTACGGTTCATAGCAGTGATTGAGTTGGTGTGGAAACAAGAGGTAGGTTATTTAATATAATAAATGTTTAGATTAATTTATAAATTGTAACTGATTTGTAATCCACATTTTGAATTAAAAATTCTGAGCATAGGTTAAGATGCATTTTATTATAATGTTTATGTGATTACCTCTTTCTTTTCCTCCTCATTTTAACTGAATGGTGATTTGTTAAGAAACCTTTTGCTGGGGTGTATAATAGTAATCCTTGCATTTGATATAGCACCTTATCACGTTGTGGAGATGTCTCAAAGCGCTTCACAGAATATACTGTAAAGTGAATTGACCGTATATTTTATAGGCGAAACAGTATGACGAAATGGTTGGCATACAGTTTTTAGCAGCTTGGATATTTATTTTGCTTGGGCCATAATTTAACTTGTAGTATTCTTTGTCTTATACAATACTTTCCTTTTGTTCTTCATGTCTTGCCTTCTCTATACAGTACAAAGTTTTGTCCGTTCTACCTGGATCAGGAATGGGTATTTCAATAGCTACTCCACATACACAAAAGGTAAATTAAGTAGTTATTCATTTTGATATAAATTCAATTGTTTTGTTAATTTCATATGTTCTATTTTAAAGAATGATACCTGCACCTTGCAAGTACTTTTGTAAATCAATAAATCTTCTAATGTTGCTTTAAAATTATGAATATTCACCTGCTCTGCCCAGAGCTCAAAAAACATCCTGCTACCTCCACAACAAATTTGGCTCTATCTCCAGAATAAAAAATAGTAAAATAACATGTACAAAATAAGGCGAGCAAAAGCAGAAAGAGGAGCAAAGTCACCTGCTAATCTTTAGGTGTCATCAAGACAATTTTGTAATGATGTCATACATTTCATGCTTCTTTGCATTCGCTTCCAAAATTTACCTTCCAAACCGTGGAGGCAAAGTCTGCAAATGAAAAGTTGCAGTACCTGTAATATAAAAGGGACTCTAATCTTAATTAGCTATATCCCAGGGTAGACAATAATATAGAATTGTGGATGCATTGCTCTATTTCTAACTGCACCTTGTGGAACCATTGTTTAATGAGAAGAGATGTGTGTCTGAGCTGTGAACAGGAAAATGGTGGCATTGCTCTCACGCATTTCATACTGAGCTGCGTTGTCCACCAGGAATTGCAGGGAGTTCCCACTAATTACCAAGTGTTCAAATCCACGATTGTTGATGTCAAACGACCAATTATCCTCCGGGGGTGAGGGTGGCAGGTAGACAGGGTCTCATTGGAGCTGAACTGGCTCCAAGGTGACATGTTTGGCAATGGAATGTCAGAATTGAACCAATCCACTACGGTGGTCTTGGTTTCTGAGCCTAGTAGGTCCACAATACTCCAGGGCATTGCTGATGACAGTATAGTCAGACTAGTTCATCAGCAGGACGTGGAAGGCAGACTAGTCACCTGGAGCAGGGACTCTTTGCACTCAGCTCCTATTAACCTTGCAAGACAAAGACCTAATGGGACGGGTGACAGTGGGAAAGCTTTCCAGGCTCTCAATAACAAGCTATGCAGTTTTAGCTGGTCAGACTCCAGCAATACCACAACACGCTCTGAGATCTCCAAGTCTTGACTCTTGCCAACCTCCACCTAGTATTTTCTGGTGGACTTCCATTCCAACAAATATCTCTGGAACTTCCATCTGTAGGTAGGATACACAGAACTTTGTTTGGTTTGGATTCTCTTAAACATGATGATGGAGTTCTGCATATGTCAGACACCCAGCTGACCCCAAAAACAAATATGCCTTCAGCCACCTCCACCCTATCTCCCACTAAGTCCAGGTTCTCACTTTTGTGACTCCAAAGTGCTTTGAAGCATTCTCTAAGTGAAATGTATATAAGTGAAATTTGTTATTATGTTCTTATATCTCTGATTTTTTTTATAAAACATTGTTATTCTTGCTTTTGTTTTTAGCCACTGGTGTTTGGTGCCATGATACACCGGGATGAGGCCTTTGAAGCAATAAACTCTCAATATACCAAAATAATGTCCAGTGCATCCAACAACGAAACCTAACCATGTGCTTACAATAAGTCAGATTCTGTAATCATTAGTGGGGAAGAGAAAGAGAATTGGTTGGACAAAAGAAGTTCCATTGAATATTTGTGTCAGTTGATGGGTTTTGTACTGAATTGGAATAGATAGATGGTTTATATTGTATTTTTTACTTGTAAATTAATTTTACATTTGGTGAGGATTCTCCACAAAAGTGCTATTACTATCACAGTAATTCCTGCACAGTAAGCACTTTTGCCATTTGTTTACAAGCATTTTAAATGTCAATGATTTAAGTTGAAATTAAATTTGGGTACGGGAAGAATCAAAATTATTTTTTTTAAATAAAATTCAGAGAAACGTGATTAATCTATGAATGCCAACATCATGTAGTATTCAATGTCCATTTCAGATGGAAAGAGTTATTATTGAAGGTGTGATCATGTAATGAGAAGGAACTAGTAACGTAAAAATCAAGCGACTCTGTTGCATCCCAAATTTCAAATATGAATCTTTTAAATCTTAGTGATCTTTCAGGAATGTGTCTGTTTGAAGTGATTGCTTAAACACGAAAGGGTTGGAGTATAATATGTTGTCACTGCTACATATATCACAAACTACTTTAGTAATAATCTTGTCCAGTGTTTGTATAACAACATGGTAGCATCGTTTAATTTTGTGTGCTTCAAACAGCAAAATATTTCCTTTATGAACCCTATTTGCTGAACTATCAAGTTAAGATTGATTATCCCCCACACCCAGATATACTGCTCCAAACCTGATGATGCCAAAGGAAAAGTGTGAAGTTACAATTACTCTACACTCCGGTTGTGCCATTAGATGCTGCTAGTAAATTGTGTTAGCATAAGTTGTCTTTGCAACCATAATTGAATTCTTCAACCATAACATTTGAATATATCCATAGTGATAATGTATGCTCATTAATTCATTTGTCCGTCTAATACCAACCCTTTTTCAGCACCACTAAATGTTCACCAGATAGTATGCGAGTGCTGAAGTGTGATTCACTATGAGAAGTGTCCTGTCTTAACTTAATATAACAGATAAGGAACAGAGTATGTGGAAAACAATGATGGGCAAGGAATAGGCATGTTCCCGTCCTGTCTCATGTTTGATGAATGCTGCTTTACACACGTGCTGCAGATATTATTTTTAATGTTTCTTTCTCATTCACTTAAGAGTACAAAGTATTCCATTCAAATGAGTGAACATGGGATCCAACTGCACTGATCTTTGAGGCTGCTTTTACACCCTCCTCCCCCAAAGTATTTGGGTGGTGTTGCCATATGCCAGACAGTTCAGGTGCAGCAGCCGTAAATCCAACTCCTCCCTGACATTTGATGCCTTTGTGTAGTTCAGCAGTTCCTTTCTCCTATTAGTGAAGAATACAGTTCAAAATTCATTATTGTACTCAAAAGGTCTGATTTAGACATTTAGTTTGAATGTGTGATGCTACTGCAAGCCTTCAGAGGATGAAGGATGTTTTTAAAGTATTGAAATTTAAGAGTCTTGGAAGATGCCAGCTTTTGACTCCAGAATATTCTGACCAATTTTATTTTTTAAATTGCAGATGGGATTTATACTGCCTAAATAGATATGCCCTAGAATATGCTGGCTATTTTCTATCATTGTTAATAGAATTTGTATGATTTACATGTACTATTTTTTTTCCAGAGAAGTGTTCAGAATGTAATTTATTAGAACTTCTAATTAGCATTGGTAAAATAGCAGACACTTGAGCACAAAGATTTTTGTAGTAAAGTAGATTTGTGATGCATTGCTTTGTGAAGTGTATACATTTGCCAAGTAAACTATCCACACTTTTAGTTTACTGTTAATGTGGATAAGTTTACTGGCTAATGTAATCTCCACGGTTTTAGTTCTATCTTACAAGTGCATTTGCTGGTTTGGATTCCTTGTATTTGGTAGGAGGACACAAACTAGTAACTCTATTCACTTTAAGTAATATAACCACTTTTATCAACTGGTAGTTTTTATCTAAGTCAATTTATTTTCTTAATATCCCCATCATGAAAAAGCAATTGCCATTCAAATTCTCATTGATATTCATTTAACATGTTGAATGTCTACATTTTGAAAGTTGTGATTATTGTTTTTTGGTATCATGTAAAACTTTTAGTGTAAAGGAAACAAACAGAAAATTGTAAAAAAAGTCTGGAAAATATAACTCATCATGTTTGTTGTAAAAAGAAAGTCTTGTAAAAAAATCATACAAATTTTTATTTGAAATAAATGGTTCTGTAAAATGATTGTCAATCATCAATGTATTATAACATTGTAATGCACGCTTAATTTCCCATCCATTTAAAATTACACTGCTTAATCGTACAAATGAAACTTTTATCATCGGCCCCCTTTTCTTCATCTACAATGTCATCACAGACACACTTATTTCCTTGATACACTAATTCACATCTTTGTTGCCTCATGTTTAAAATGTTTCTACTGCACCACTGGTGGCTTAGCTTTCCAATTCTATGCCCCTAACCTCAAACACCTTCTACCCCTCCAGCTCCCTCCCTCTCATCTGTCTTTAAGCCCCATCTTAAGACCTGGTTCATTGAATGCACCAATACCACCTTCCCCTTCCCTACCTCCCCCTCTCTTCTCTCTGTAGTTTGGCGTCTGATGCTGCCCTTGTAAAGCCCTCCAAGACCTTGTGCAGGTGCTATATAAATGTAATTTGTTGTGTTTTTCAGAGATTTTGCTCTGGCTAGAATACTCGCCTTGTAAGCAGGAGACCTGGGTTTGATTCCCGGGTTGGGCGAAATGTTGGGCAAGTTTTCTTACTCTACGCCTCTGTTTACCTAGCAGTAAGTAGGAACCCAATTGTTAATCAATTGGTGGATCACTTTTCTGGGGGTAATAATGCCTTAAAAATATTGGTCACTTAATCCCCGACTGTTTGTGGGATATTGCTGTGCGCAATTGGCTGCTGAGTTTCGCCCACGAAATATACAATCAATTCACTTTACCGTATATTATTGTTAGGGGTGTATACCCATTTCTGAGTGTATATACACAGCCCCAACTCCCACCTCCACATGCCAGAGACAAGATACAATTAGGACATCTCATCTTAGACTAACTAACTCAACAAGGACCAGGGATCAAAGCCAGCACCTTCAAGTTTATTGGCTGAGACCCATATCTAACAGTGCATTTTACCTCTAGGATATTCGGGGACCAACCATTGTTCTAACCAAGTACAATAATTTCAGTCACATTCTTACCTACACTATGTAAGTACTGTACCCAAGGAGGAGAGAAAAAGAATTGGACTGAGCAAATATGATGAATGCTGTTTCCAAAAACCCTGCCAATGCTGGAAGATCCTCAATAATAATCTCTGATATTTTCTAACCCTGCAAAGAAACATCAGGTCATTAGTTATCCTCCTCCCTGGAGAGATGATGGCATTAGGTATTTGGGGGTGTGGAGGATTGAGCCTACATTGCCAGTGTAGCTGGTGAAATGTCACATTAATAGCCTCAAGATTATTGCTTTAAAACTTAATATCATAACAAAGCTACAAAATTGTCAAATTCTGTCTTGGTTTTGAATATGCCTTCAAACAAACTTCTAAATTAAGTCTGAATTTAAGAATTTTCCATACTTCGGGATAATCTTAAATTTTGAGAATCATTTTAAGACTAAGATAATAAAATATTTTGAATCTGGTGCTCAATATCGCTGAGCTGATGGAGCCAGTATGGGTTCCTTGACGTCTGATGACTGCTTTGTTTCTGAGATGGTTTTCCTGTATGGCTATGAGGACTCTTAAGCGCTCTGAGATGCTACCTGGCGTGAAGGGTGCTATATAAATGCAAGTTGTTGTTGTATGAGTGACAACACACAATAAAATTGAAATGGAAGGGGTATTACTCAAATAATCATACTGTTATGATATGTTGATCCAAGAATATATGGTTAGGTTGACATTGATTCTCTGATTCCTCTGATGGTACTGTATGAAATGACAATAAGTAATGCAACCAATTAATGGAATTAAACGCTTGTGAATGTTTTTACTTTTATTATTCTTAATTGTTCCTGTATTTCCTTTTCATTCCTTTTAACCATTTTACATAATATTGTTCTATCTCATCTCCAAACAGTTAACAGACCTTATACAATAAGCCTGAGAGTATATCAAAAAACAAAGATGTATTTTTTTAATCTTGTTTGAAATTATGCCTACTTTGTATGTCCAGTTACTGCATCTCAATCCCTAATCCTATTTATGTGAGTTTGCCTAGTTCAGTAGGTTCTTACTATTCACCTTTCTTTCGACACATCAGATGAAACTATTCATTTCTCATCTGAGAGTATGCCTGATAATCAAACTCTTTACAGCTTTGAACACTCAGCGAAGGGACTATTACTTTCAATTGGGAAAAGAATACAAGGGAGGTGACTAATAGAAATACAGTGACCCAGTAACTTTGCACAAGGTAACTATTAAGAGTGAGTGCCAGGTGAACACTGCAGTGTGACACTGGGTCTCTTAACAACCTGCTTACATGAACTTACTTGGTCTATCCGTCATATTTCTTGTACTTGTCGGCAACCTGAAAGCATTAATTTCCCTGTGGAGAATTCACCTGACACTCAGCCTGTAACCACTTACCTGCTTGGTTCGTCATTACATGATTCTACCACTCCAATCCATTTCAACCCAGGAACATTTTCAGAATTTGAACAATTTTAATTCCTATTCCTATTTATAGTTAATTGCATTAACACTAGTGAGATTACTCTTACTATAAAAATGAATCAATATTAAATTGCTTTACATTCTAAACAGATTTCAAATCATATGTAATAATGAATTTAATTCAGAAACTATTTATAGTGATTACTAATTATTACCTGACAGGTTTTATTAAGTTGCAATTGATTAAATTTGAAGTTCTACTTTGTCTTAAGTGCAATTAATTCAGTATTAATGTTAAGGTTCCTAAAATTTATGTCTACTAAATTATTGAATTTGTTAAAATTTATAAATATTAAAATCTCCAACACACTGCTCTCAAGCCAACATTTGTTTTTGTGAAGGGTTAATCAGCATATTTTTGTTAGAGACTGCATATATTCACTAATCTGAGCAGAACATTTGAGCTTCCTGGTAAATTTTTAATCTACATCTTGTTCTGTACTCACTGTCTATGACATACAACCTGCTTACTCCTGTTCTCACCAAAGCGGCCGTGTTTTCAACCACTATGCCCCGAATTTCTAGAACTGCTAGTCTTCGATCTCTTTGCCTTGCCACTTCTTTGCCAGTCTTCAAATCACATCTGAAGACTTTCCCCTTCTGACTGTGCCTACAGAACCTTCCTTCCCTTTCCGGTTCAGCATCAAGCCATGATGCTATTAAGCACTCCGAGATGTTATTTGCGTGAAGGGTGTCTCATAAATGCAAGTTGTTGTTGAAGTTGTTGTATCACTTATGCCTCTCAGCATTGGAAAAACCTGGATCATCTGTCTTCTGTTGCCCAGCTCCTATCTTCATAGTCAATGTGAATAGCCTGTTTTCAGAGTGATCAAGGAGAAATGTGTCTATTTCTTCTGATGCTGGTGGTAGTATCATGAATGGCTGCAAGAGTTAAGTGCTCCAAGATATTCCCTACATGACAGGCACTACATAAATACAAGTTGTTGTTCCCATATGTGTAGAGGCAAGTTAAAGGAGCCTACAGCAATAATAGGATCATAATAATAGAAAACCTAACCCCAAATATTGCCCACATTTGGCAATTGATTTATGATAATTTTGGAGAAGAAGCCATTTACTCTCGGGTTGATAGCAGCCAAGGCAGCATTCCAATTGCGAGAGAGAGAGAGAAACAGTAATACTGTGTAGACCACCACAACACAATAAATCTATAGGTTTTGAACCAAGGCAGCAGCTGCCTTCGATGTTTTAGTATTGCTCTAAGATGCTAACCCTTGTGAAGGGCATTATATAAATTCAAATTGTTGTAGATAATACAATGGAGACCCTACAGGAAGAAATCAATAATAATCCTTGCATTTGAGAAAAGTGCCTTATCACATCTTCGAGACGTCTCAAAGCACTTCATAGAATATACTGTAAAGTGAATTGACTGTATATTTTGTGAGCTTTTCACATCTGGTAGACATTTCAAATTGCTTCATGGGATGTACTGTAAAATGGAATGACTGTTTATCTTGTGAGCAAACACAGCAGCCAATTGTGCATGGCAGTGTCGCACAAACGGCCGAGTGGTTAGGAAAAACTCCCTTCTCTTTTCAAATATTGTTATGAGATCTTAACATGTACCTGAACGGGCAGACGGGACCTCAGTTTAACCTCCGTCTGAAGGAGGGCGAGCATATCTAACAATTGAGCTAACAATTGAGGTAAGAATCCTTGCTCACTGGGGTGGTTCCAGTGATAGTATCCTGGTTTCTCAGTCTCTGAGCAATGGGAAAGAAACATTTTATAATATTT